TCAATAATCTGTAAAGATATATAATTGTGAGATATCTNTGACTGAAGATATTTTAATATTTATGTTATCAATACCGGATGCATTCGATTTGACTTCACGAATAGAATTCAAAATATCTTGTCAGGTAATTTCTTAGGAAGAAAACAAAATATTATTGTTCCATTCTCATTACTATAAAATGCTGATTATGTTACGTTAAAAGAGACTTTTTCTTGATCTTGCAATTCCTCAAGTGAATAATTATTAAATAACCGTGCTTTTGCGGTAATACCCCAAATAGATTTTTTTTAAATAGCTTTACTGTTTTTTTGTTCTTATTCATAACACATTGCACGTAAGCTTTTTTTTTTCGGATTGCAATGCCTGATAGACACAACTACGTAAACTAATATAATACTCTCTAGCAACCAAAGTTTTATTTTGGTATTAGCTATTAGTATTTGTATTTTTTGTATTTGTATTGTTGATGCAGGTCACGCCTCAGATTATGATTGGGACTTTAAAAGGGCTTTATCCGTTAACCAACTTCCGTTTCTTCACACAGCAACCCCCAAGGGTTTATTAGGGATTACCAAGGTCTTATCTTTTAACGTGCGATTCTTAGTGAGCCGAGAATTTTGCAACGAAAGTCAACTCAGAACCGGCCGTTTACCGGTCACTGCCCGTTTACTAACCACTGCCCGTTAAAAAAAATCAATCGTTTGGCTTCAGAACTTATTTTGTTACTAGCGACCCGCCCCGGCTCCGCACGGGTGAAATGCTGAAACTAGATATACTATAGAATGTCTTTATATACAACGTTCACAGCTTTTTTGTCGGTAGACAATACAAACATGTTTTCTTTAGAGGCTACTATTGAATGAGCGACATATAATTGGCCCGGTACCGCCGCAACCGCTATTCATTCAAATTATATGCTGTAAGGGGCTATACTGATCGCATTATGGACAGATAAGATAAAGGATATATTAAAGATAATTTTATAAACGCGCCTTTTTCCCCCGTGGCTGGCGTCTTACTTGAAATACTTAATCCTTTTTTACTAGATATAAAACTAATCTACATAAGAAATGTCTGCCTCCGAAAATATAGCTGGAACGGAGAAACAGTGATTAAAAGGTAATTTTCATATGTAACCGCTTTCCTTTTACCCCTACAGGGGGCGCCCAAGTTGGAATATTTGAAAATCCTTTCTTTGTGCGTATCTAGGACTTACAACTATGAAGAAACAGAAATGTGTGAGTGTAAAGTGAGTGACTTTCGCATTTATAGAGTAGAGTAGGATAATATATTTGACCATTTTATATACAAAATACATTTATGGTTTATGGCAAGTCATATATACTATACAGGGTATATCTTGACGAGTTAACGCAATCTATATATAGAAAACTGAGAGTAGGGCGATTCTGTAAATTGGTAGGATGAGTGAATAACTAATGAAGAATTCAACTGAAATATTATCGTTGAAGTGACGTTTCGGGTTTCACCGGAGTGACGCCATCTTTGTCATTTTCAATGGCACACCCTGTATTTCACCTCATTTTTGAATTCTTCACATGATTTAGATTCTAACTCATGTATCATACCCTATACCCAAAATGAACCGTTTTCGAGTTATTCGAGTTTTTTTAGAAAAAGGTGTAGCCTTGAACGGATCACGCATCATTTTCACGTCCACTGAATAATCCACATGGTGCGCAAAAACTAGGGTCCAATAAGTAAGTGAGAAAAATTAAAAATCTCAACTTTTTCAAATGGGAACCCACATTTTTTCCTCAAGGTTCAATTCTATTATGAAAATAAGCCCTAGTTATGATACACTTCCCTATACCCAAAACTTATAATTTTGGAGATATTCCATTATATTTACATACTTTCCCGAAATGTTGATATTTCTAGTAGGCTGCTGTCCATCTTTCAACACAATGTTTAGTGACAAATGAAATAAAGTTGTTTATTGTCAGATTCGTGCTCTCAGAAGGTACAATATGGCTCCTGCTGCTTATAATAATCACGATTTCTTTAACTTATTGGTGATTTATGGCGAATGCAATAAGGTGTTAACAAGAACATGTGATGCTTATGCTACAAGATATCCAGAAAAACCGAAACCATCTCCAGATACCATTAGAAGATTAATCTTCAATCTTACGAACTTTGGATCATTCGAAAGGACAATTATCAAAACTAAAACGGTGGTTGACAATGGAGATAATGCGATTACAGTGCTTGGGTACTTAACTGCTTTTCCAGAAGCATCTTTGAAAGATGCGGCACGAGATTGGGGATTGAATAAAATGTCCATGCAAAGAATATTGGCTAAACATAAATGGCATCCGTATTTTCCATGTACATGGCCTAAAGCTACCCGATTATGAGAGAAGAATTAACTTTGCGGAGTTCTTCATTATGAAAAATCAAGAAAACAACCAATTTTTGAGAAATATTATATAGAGCGACGAAGCGCCAAAAATGGGATACTCAGCAAGCGGAATTCTCACTACTGGAGCGATACAAACCCTCATTCAGTTCGGGAACGTCAATTTTAAGGCCGTTGGAAAGACGACGCAATAGTGATTCTTCACTTCTATGACGAAAATTCAAATGGTCAGTTGAAAAGTATCGGAATTAGAGGAAAAAATGGGGGCTACCATTTGAGAAAGTTGAGATTTTTAATTTTTATCGTTCACTTATTGGACCCTAATTTTTGCGCACCTTGTGGGTTATTCAGTGGACGTGAAAATGATGCGTGATCCGTTCAACCTTCAATTATCACGATACACTTTTTTCTAAAAAAAACTCGAATAACTCGAAAACGGTTCATTTTGGGTATAGGGTATGATACATGAGTTAGAATATAAATCTGTTTAAAATCTGTTTTTCCGTTAATCAGCTGTCGACCCCATACGAACGACAACTCTCAGAAGTTGGGAAACTTGTGCGAGCTAAGGACTAACGAGGTCTTACCTTTTAACGTGTGATTCCTAACACGATTGCAGAATCATCCCAGCTTCAACCAGATAAATTCTCTCGAGAAAAATATCTGGTCGAGGCAGAAATCGAACCCACGGTCTTCCGATCGTGTGTCGGGCGCACTACCCCCGCGGCCAATTCCCCAATAAATCATGGGAAGAATTAAAAATGAGGTGAAATACAGGGTGTGCCATTAAAATTAACAAAGATGACGTCACTTCCAGTGAAACCCGAAACGTCACCTCAACGAAAATATTTCAGTTGAATTCTCCATTAGTTCTTCATCCATCCTATCAATTTTCAGAATCGCCCTACTTACAGTTTTCTATGTATAGATCGCGTTAACTCGTCAAGATATACCCTGTATACTATAGGTACTATGTCAGACACTCAAAATGAACAACAACGATTCTAGATTAAACTAATAAATTTTATAAATAAATGAAACTGGCATATCAAAATTCCTTTAAATGATCACAATGTCACATGAATGGTAATAAAAAGGTCAACAAACATAAGGACATCAGGCATTATCATAGGTTTACAACATGAATCATTTTTCAAGAACTAAAAATTGACCAATTGAAATCCAAAGATTTAACTGAGGGATGAAGACAGTTATATAAATTCAAATTTATCGAGTTTTTTTTTTTTTGACTAACTGCTAACCTATGTCTTTTGTATTTATCAATAAACATGCGGATCTTGTTGAATAATGATGATTGTGAGAGTGTTTCGGAAAAATCTCAATATTCTTGTGAATCTCCAACAACACATAAATATATAATGTAGGAAGTGGCATTATTTCAAATTTAATGGAAAGAGGACGACAGTGTTTCCTATATCCTACGTTTACCACGATTCTCATGGCTTTTCTCTGACATCTGAAAATTGTGATTGAGTTTGTGGAATGCCTTCAAATCAAGACTCCATATGAAATAACTGCGTGGAATAGTGAATGATATGCTATCTTCAGTGTCATCAAAACATCATTTCTTAAAAGTTTTCATTTCTGCTCATCATTTTAGGTAAACTGGTATGTGATTTGTCTGTGCATATGAGGGTTGTGTCGTAGGCAAACAAAACCGGTCGGTCGGTAGCCGGGTGGTTCGACGTGGGTGCTTTGTTCACTCAGTTGATTGGTCGATGTATGAGTCGATGATTCAAGCCCCAGACTGAACGCTTGATTTCCACTTGCTATTGTCCAACCCTTGTTAGGAATCACACATTAAAAGGTAAGACTTTGTTAGTCCTTAGCTCGCACAAGTTTCGACTTCTGAAAAAACATATTTTGTTAGTGAAGTAAAACTACATAAGTCATTAATATAAATGATGAATAATAACGGAACGAGGACAGAACCTTGAGGAACGCCATGACAGATTGGCTTCAAATCATAAGTATGGATTATTATTATTATTTTTAATCCTTTCGCTTTCAATGAACGAATCTTTAGTATTTTTTACATAAAACACAGCTGGATTTGTTATACAAAACATACTGAAATCTAGTAAAACAAGCCTTAATTGAAAATGAAAAGATTGGTGAAACCTATTCAAAAATTTGGATTTGTAACTCATCGAAAGGAGTTAAATGTACTGGTAAAATTTTCATATCGCTTGATTATCGTTTTATAATCTATGAATACGCCCAATGATGATAATAACTTGAGATTCTGAATTTATTCAACTTGGCTCTTCTACACAGTACTATACTATTCATTATTTGCATTATAACGAGAATATATAATTGTTTAGCCTTTTTTAAAATTGTATGTTTATGCTATGTTTATTATTGATTTATATTTTATATTTTTGTTTTTTTAATATCTAAAAATTTTTTCAGAATTTGTGAGAATTAGACTGACCTGCTACAAACATTATGTAACGTAGTTAAATAAACGAATCTATCTATCTATATCACGATCGAATAAGTTATGACGTTTCAAAGTTCTAAAAATAAGTCGAACATAATCCTAATAGAGACGAACATCTTAACATGATGAATTCCTCCTTGATTTGGCAAATGAAATTGAATAATTCGTCCATTATCAAAGACACATGTCACTGAAAACATCGCATCGCGATGAAAACGAGGAGCAGCGTCTCAGTGCCTCCTCCGTCCGACCTTGTTCAATATTGATTTTGCCTGAAAGCCAAATATGAAGGGCTGAAAAAAGGAGTGAGTTCTTCTGTTTTCAGTGTTATTTCTCCCTTTTAATACTCCTCACAACAGCTTAACCCACCCATTTTCAATTTCGAATTGTTCTATTGTTGAGTTTTTGTTGTAATGGATATTGTTGGTTTCCATCGTGATACATAATGTGAGTATATTTATGAATGGATAATCTATTCGATTATGTTGTTCAGCGACAGATGTTTGAAACTATCGGTTTTTTTTGGCTTGCGGACTGAAAAAAAAATGTTGAATGATTAGTCAAAGTGCACAAACGAAACAGTTCGCGAATACAACTAGGTAATTTTAATTTTTTCCCTTTTTAATTTTGTTGTGGCATAATATTTTTCAATAAAGAGTCATAACATGTGCAGAACTCAGCTTTGGAAATATTTGCTAAATATAACATTAATTACGAATTTGTTCTCCATATGCAAACTTTTTATGCATCTTGAATTATTTCCATATCCTCTAACCACCCGCGCTGTGAACTTTCCTAAGTAGAATATTGTGTAGGGACTGCTTTAAACCGTGATATACTAGTTACATGATGTAATTATTCAAGTAGTCATTAATTTTTCATTCATATCTGTGGTACATTTTGAAATTCGGATTCATCATCATTCATTCGTTTCGTCACATTACCTTCATTTTTAGCATTTCCAACTTTCTGGTATATACTTCTTGCAAGGAAAATCTGATTCAATGGCACCTAAATAATCGTAGGAAAATGCACTGCACGATGATGCTTTACTCCTCTTTTCATCCCATTGATGTTGATGCACAGATTTGAAATGTTCACATCATGATATATTTATGAACACGTGATATATTCGAATTTTGCAGTGGCGTATGTAACAAGTAGTTATGAATTTTCTATAGTAATTTTAGTTATTTTCTATAGTAATTTTAGTTCTGTGCTAGTTTTGTTGACCTTATTCCAAAAGTTTGACCTAAATTGTACAAAAATATATATAACAGTAGTTGATAATAGTTGAAACCTGCTTCTTTGAGAGGATCATTATTCCCAAAAAACGATGTTTTTTTCAATTTCAGATTAATTGTGATAAAGATGTTACACAGAACAATAACAGCGAACAATCATCTGACGAAAACAAAGAAAATGTTCAGTTAAATTCCAGTTGTGTCTTATCACCGAACGAAAACAAAGTGAGTACATTTATTGAATTTCTTGAATTTTTCGAATAAGTGCATGACCTTTGAAACAGAAAGGCTTGTAATAATTAGATTTGTAGTGATTTTTCATACTGAGAAGTTTATATTCATTTTAATTCGATTTTTCAGTAGGTTGATGATGATAAATCCAGTGGCGTGTAGGGGGATCCCCATAGACCCGAGTCTTATGCTTTAAAGAGCTTTTAATATATCCTATTTGCATCTTAGTAAAAATTAATAGACAAAATCACACGTTTCTGGGTTGATATCAACAAAATATTTATTTTTGTAGGTATTATAAGAATTGCAGTTTAGTTTATAGCACTCTGCACAAAAAATGGTTTTGCCCTCTCCGAAACAAGGTTATGTGTACATCACTCCACCACCAAAAAGTTATATTTGAAAATGCATGTAAAAAGTGGACGTCTTTGCAATGCTCAATATAATTAGATGATCTTCTACACAGGTACATCTGTCAGTATGTTCATTGAACCGATTCAAAATTTATTTAATTTATGAAATTTTGCACTCTGCAATAACAGAGGCAGAGAATCTCAGAAACTTGTTATAGATATACTTTATTTTAGATAAGAAGAAGCGTCAGTACTGGAAAATCAGAAACCGTGAGAGATACAAAGTCGGTTACATTAGGAACACGTTGCTCATTTCAGAGTATTCAAATGACTTTTCAAATTTGGAAAATCACGATTGTTTCTCGAGATATTCAAATTTGTCAATTTCGTGTTGATTTTTTTCTGGATTCATTTGATAATATATAGGGTCTTCCAACAGGGACTTCAGAACTTGACAATTGATAACGGCCATCTTGATGAAGCTACTTCTGTCAATTTAGTTGTCATTCATTCAGTTTGTTTTGCCAAATCACCATAGACGGATATAGCATTCACCATGTGCAAATAAAAAAGTTGTTTTATCAAAATACGTGTTTTGTTCGGGCAACGTACTGCGTGCTTCGTCCATTTTATAGTCGCCATAATCTTGCTAACCTGAGGACTATTCGCAATAAGTCAATTGGTTTAGTAAACGATCGACCAACACCTGTACTTCGACGACACGCAAGATCTGCGGATAACATAGTCGCTGTCTGTGAGAGTGTGCAAGAGAATCCGAGGCAGTCGATTTCGCGTCGCTCACAAGAACTCGGCCTTTCGCAGAGTCCAACTTCGCGAATTTTGCGCCGTGAGTTGGGCCTTCACCCGTACACAATTCAACTGACCCATGAACTGAAGGTAAACGACCATAGACAACGACGTGTGTTCGCTGAATGGGCTCTGGAGCAGTTGTCAGCTGACCCTAATTTTCATCGAAAAATCATCTTCAGCGATGAGGCCCATGAGATCCAAGAGCGTACAATGCATCTCGAGAAAGTTACTGTTAAGTGTGGATTTTGGGGTGGCGACGTCATCAGTCCATATTTCTTTGAGAACAACGTTGGCCAGGCCATCACTGTCAACGACTAGCATTATAGGTTGATGATGACCAGCTTCTTTTGGCCTGAATCGGATGATCTGGACACCAACGACATGTGGTTTTTACAGAACGGCGCTACATGCGGTTGCTGTATTTCTTGATATTCTGTCTGTCTGTTTAAAATCTGTTTTTTCCGTTAATCAGCTGCCGCCCCCATACGAACGACAACTCTCAGAAGTTGAGAAACTTGTGCGAGCTAAGGACTAACGAGGTCTCACCTTTTAACGTGTGATTCCTAACACGGAGCATTTGACAATGCACTTCCTAAATCTATAGGATTGTCTCTGGCTAGAAAGGGTATAGAATCGACCATAACTGGCTGGATCTATGCCATGCTAGTAAACAGAACTGCAACTACGACTCTTCAAGGCGAGGCCATTTGGTTCAGGGTCGCCAGGGGCTGCCCTCAAGGTGGGGCACTATCTCCCCTTCTGTGGTCGCTCCTGATAGATAGTCTGCTTGATGCCCTCGACAGAAAAATGTTGATCTGCAAGCTTATGCAGATGACCTTGTCATCCTGGCAAGGTCCACGCCGGGAAGGGTAACTTGTAATATCCTTCAAAGCGCGTTGGACGTTGTTCACAGTTGGTGCCTGAGGGCGCAGATGTCTGTCGACCCCAGTAAAACTGTGTTAATCCCCTTCACCAAAAGGAGAAAATTGGATGATATAACGCCACTTTCCCTCTATGGTGAGGTCATTCCATTTCGAACGGAGGTGAAATATCTGGGCTGTCTCTATGGACATGTCGAAGGATTTGTGGTAAAACTTGGAGTTTAGGTCCCAAACAAATCCACTGAATTTATGTGATGATTGTTAGACCAATGGTCACTTATGGTGCAATTGCCTGGTGGCCGAGGGCTTTACTGAAAACGGCCCAAGCGAAGCTCTCTGGCTTACAGTAACAGACTTGTCACAGTATTCTGGAAATGACATCTGACTTTATGCCTACGAACTGCCTTATAAAGTACTATTCCCGAGTAGAGAGGAGTGGATCCTCCGGGAGAAGGAAATATTAAGAGCAGATAGTTGTTGGTTCACAGATGGATCAAAAACACATTCCGGTTTTATTGCAGGACAAATATATCTACCTGAGTAGGAACTTATGCGACTGTATTTCAAGCGGAAAATTACGCTATTGAATTGTATGCGGAGAGATTGGATAAATCCAACCTCACACAACAGTCAATAAAAATATTCTCGGGCAGTCAAGCGGCGTTGGTAGCTCTTGGCTATTTCCGAGCAACGTCTATATGTTGGACTGTGGTCCAACACATTTTGGACCACAGTAAGGATGCACTTCGATGTCTAACAGGCCTTCTTACAGTTCACTGTCATTTGAATCATCGTATGCAGAGATTCGGACTATCGGAAGACAGTGCGTGTCGCCTCTGTTTGGAAAATGATGAAACAGTAGAGCATATACTTTGTGCCCGCCCCGCTGTGGACCAAATCAGGTTTTTGGAGTTCGGCAGAGCCGTGTGAGCCACAATAAACCCTTTCGGGTTGCGGTTGAAGGTCGAATAGACCCACTCACTTTAGACCTAACCTAACCTAATGTGCCACACAGCTCAAGCCACATTGGATATTCTGCACGAGCAATTATAGAGCATGGTCATCTCACGTGGAGGTTTATGCGCCAGAGTCATGGAAAATTGAACGTTTCGGATGCGCTCCACCCAGAGAAGCCGTGTTGGACATTTGAATGATTTATATTCCACACATAATGCCATCAATATGTTAGAATGGGTGTTCCTTGTACGTGATATAGCCATATCAGTAAATAATAAAGATAAAAAATTAGTACATATGAGGTAAAGTGAAATTCATCGTATGAAGTAATATAAAATTAATGTTAAAAACTTATTGAAAATAGTCTGAATTATAAAATACTGCTTAGATAGATATGTTGTAACTCTATTTGAGCTATAAATAAAAGTTGTAACGAAAAATATACAGAATCTCCAATAAGTGTACGATGTATCAAATTTCTATTTTTTTAAATGAAACGCACTGCGTATTTCCACTCGATTTAATTTGTAATGTCCATTTCACTGTGTACTTGATTATGTACTTGACTGTCTCGATATGCCTGCAGCCAGCGTTTAAATATCGTAATCGAACATCGTAGAATATTCTCCGAAGTTCCATAGACATCGGTAGCATGACTCTCGCTGCTTCTCGAGCGGCAGGGAATATTGGGCATTCCCGCGCTCTTAGCTACGTCACGTTTGGTTTATGGTTACCAGTGGCGGCCGGCGTTATTTTCTTTCGGGTATGATTTACAACAATATTGATATATAAAAAATGAAATTTTTAGATTCAACAGGGTTGAATATATGAAAATTTCATTAAACATTTTATTTTATCGTATTGGACATATCTTCAAACTATTTGGTTAAGTGTGATTTAATAACAATCGCGACGTACTCCATAAAATCCGAATATTATGTTCTAGTCAACAATATGAATTATTTATGTTTTATTCATTTATTATTTATTACACCGTATTCAATAAATTGGGGTGAATTTCCAACCCAGAGATGTGAATTTGTTAATTCATAATTATTAGTTCAGTTGAATATATATTTTCAACTAAACAGCGCTTTTTGAAGTATAATTTTTGATATTTCTTGCAGCTGCGTAGTTTAGTTTAGTTGTGATATTAATGCTTCTTTTTTTTCTTTCCTCTTATATTTCTAGACTCTGCCATTTGTCGAACCACTCGATTTAAATAGTGAGCGAAATAGTAACGACGTTTCGCTAGAAGAGAAAAAACGAGCTTTAATCGATAAACTTGTTAGTTCTGAGAATCCATTCACAAATAGATCGGTAAGCATGCATTTTTGTGTTTTTATCTTTTAGTTTTAGCAAGATGGTTTTCAATGTAAGCATATTAAATTGCTGTTGTATTTGTTGCTTGATTCAAAAGTTTTCAAATGTATACCTTGATGAAAATTCCCTACTTCATAGAAAAAATGAAACTTTCTTGAATCGAACGTTTTTCGTGTAACGTTTTGAATATATTGTGCGGCACCAACAGATCGAATATCTTCAAAAACAACTGTTTTGTATTTCAAATTATGATACTTCATTTGAAAGATAATGTGAACAAGTTATAAAAAGATAACAAAATTGAAAATATGTACATTGCATGAACCCATTAAATGAAAAACCGTGCATAATTTCAATAAATTCAAACTACATTATTCAATAGTAGATGCTCGAACTGTTCACCATCAACACCATACATGATTATTAGTTAGTCAAGAAACGGTGTCTGACATTTTGGAGCATTTCTAGAATTACTTGGTGACATTGTTTTTCCCGCAAGAGGGCGCCAAAATGAAAATTTACATAGTGAACAATCGCTTGGATGAATTTCTTATAAAATTTCCTTTGTTACGATATGTCAGACTTAGTACTTTCCCTATTCAAATTCTAAAGGCGATGGTCATCAAGAGACGGTGGAGGAAGTATGACGGTTGAGTTTATGATAAATAGATGCCCCCCTTGAATTGAAAATCAATCTGTTTTTGATTTTTATTTGTCAACAAATGTATCTCGAATATATTCGATCTGTTTTGTTTTAGGTGACACATACACACCTATATTTCGCTTTAACTGGAAATGAATTCGAGTCGAGAATACTGAATAGAATCCTGTATATATTTTCAAACCGTTTGATAAAAATATAAATTTCTTTTCTCAACGATATAACAGAAATGACACGTTTCCTTTCAAAATGATGCCGTACGAGACATTTTCTCCATATTCAGTATGGCGAAACTATGACGTCATATTAACATTGAAGTGTATTTCTTTTACTACAAAAAATATCAAAGATACTATTCGGTTCATTTTTCTGTGGCAGTGACAAATGGTTTTTTTTTCAACAATAACTATTTTATGATGATATAGGGGTAAGAAGCTTTGAAATTGCCGAAAGCAATAGCCAGGATAACCTAGAGACAGAGAGAGAGAGAGAGAGAGAACTTTCACTTTCTCACTGCCACAGAAAAATGAAACGCATATGCCTCCATATGCCTCGTTATAACAAAAGTAGGTTTATTGCATACTTTTGAGATGTCTAATTGATTTGCCATAATAAACTGTAGTAAATGCTCATCTCTTTCATTGGGATATTATTGGTCGCCCAGGTCAGATGGTGGGCATTAGCATCACAGCCACATATGAGCTGTAATCTGTCTGCTTGCCAGGCTATCATTAGTTCGTCCACATCCCTGGTTGTTAACGGTTTCCGACTAGCGAAAGGAAGCTATGCTGATCCAATGATGATCTCCTCAGGTTCTCCCTCACCAGCCATCTTTGTTTTGATTGTCGTCAATTCACCGGTACAAAACGGCAGTATATTCATTCCTTTTCGGATAATTATGCATGTTCTTGATGTGTCGAGGTTCTGTAAATCAACTACGTCCTGAGCTCTTCCAAACCCACGAACTTTCCCCTGTAGATCCAAAGTTCGTGTATGAGAGCAATGCCAAACTTTCACACAACTTTGTAAAGACAGCCAGAGCATCTTTAATGTGTTGTGGATTTGCTTGTAGTAATCTCATTGCGAGTCAGAGAAGTTGTTCAAAGAGTCCTTCTTTCGTTGTTGATTGTGGTCCATTTAGTTCCCACGAGTATAGGTAAAATAATTATCCGCAAACATGTAACCCCCTGTATGGATATAAGGCTAAATATTCTGAGAAGTCGTCCGGTATCTCAGAGGCTCCGTTGTTGATACCTGATAAGGCTTAGGTACTATTCATCCCTCAGCACGGGTCGCGTAGCATCACTGGATTAAATCCCCTTTTCAATTGCCAAGGGTTAACGAAGATTTTATCTAACCCCCGGTGCTGCAGTAGCTTCTTCGTCTGACTTTTTTCGGACGACTCTTCCGGCTTGGTAGGTCCAACCAGTAGTTGTGCCACCACTAGCGTGGCTCTTGGGATCATAAAAGTACGCACCAACACAAGGTGTGGGCACCGTCAATGGAGAGGAGTACATTTAATGTAATACTGTGAAAAATACCACTTCCTATTAACATTTTTGTGATAGATGAAGTAAGCAATCTTCAATTTTTATTTAGAAACTGAGCAAATTTCGTTTTTTTTCTCACTACATCAAGTTGTTTGACGATATTTCCTTGGATGATGTCATATTGCCACTATATTGAATTTGAAGAACACGGCTAGCTCTCCTGTCAACAAATCTATAAAATTACTAGAATTGTTTAGCCCTCCGATTTCACTCATTGTGTTTATTAAGCATTTCCATTTTTTGTATTTGAGATGTACGTGATTTATATATCTTGCTGAATAAATGGGTATAGTTCATACCTATGTGTAACTCATACATTCAGCGAGATAACTCTGAAGTCACATATATTATTCACATATAGTCAGTGGGCATACTTGAAAACTGGCTGTAAATCAAATCATCTGAAAGAACAATTCGTTCAGGCCAGTCTTAACTCGCTACACTGTAGATTAATAATAATAATTTATTTGTTCTCATTTAGATGTACAACAGAGTAACAATAATAGCATATAAGATAGAAAACCCATAAAATGTGAAACTAAAAGTAAAAATAATGATATTGAATATTATTATATATTATATAAAAGTGTGTTATGTAAACTATAAGTTTAGATCAGAGAGTTATACAATGATAATAAAATAAAACACTAAAAATGAATTGAGTATGGGAGTATATAAATTCTACCCTGTATCACATGCTGATTGAATTGGTTGTCAGCTAGTAATAAAAATTCTCATAACAGGGTTGAAATTGATGGAATCATATTTTTACTCTTCTGTATAAATGGAATTTTTTAGAACACTCAAAGAAATTGGGCAACGTTACTCCGCGGTTAGTTATGGGTTTTGTTACATTAGTAGATTGGTATTTTTTATATAAATTGTGACCAGTACAATCCGCATTGAACGGATTTTTTTTTAAATGGCTTTATTCTATTCGAAATTCAACTTTTTCAATGTCTGCTTTCATCGAGGTGAAAAAATGACAATAAAGAATATATCATTATATAACAAAATTTATTTTTCCAAAGAAAATCCAAAATTGGGATTCGTGCGGTTCTTAATAACATTTTAGCCGTTATGCATAATTTAAGTTCATAAGATAACTTTGACATAATAATATGAAGATAATAGTTTAAAATAAAACAAATACAAATGTTGGTATACATGTCACGGAAGTATGATAACATTTTCAATTGTTTTCATTGTTTACTTTTTGTCTGTGCTAGCCGCTAAGATTAGACGTGTTTCAAAAGCTTGACGATTTTAATTTGTTAAAACAAATGGATCTAAGAATTTGCATCAGATTTTACAAAAAGAAAATGAAATGAAGTGTAAATTGCATGAAACAATGCAAAATTCATACCGCTTCCAAAAGTCCATCATCCCCAAAATTAGAATGATTTGAGGTAAATAAGCGTTCTTCCAATTTTTCCAAAGATTATAGAAAGGGTTATGGACAGTAAAATCAGAATGTCAACCTGCACGATATATTACCAGTCAAACAATCAGGTTGCAGATGTGGGTATAGCTATGCCATAGCGTTACTAGAAAAATTGATAATATAATTGAAGCTATAGATTCAAATGAATTAACAATCTTAGTTCTCTTAGATTATTCAAAAGCGTTGGATATTATTACCCATGAAATTTTGTTAGCTATTTTGAAATATTTTGGTTTCAGTAATTCAGCGATAACGTTAATTTCATCTTATCTGGAAAATATATTGCAAATACAAAGATGTGCAGTTCATTGTTCATTCAAAGAAGTTACCTTCAGACACAAACTGGAAAAAAGTCCTCCCAATTCAATTCAAAATATACTTTATTGTCCGAAGAACAAATTCTTATTGACAAAGCTTGGTGAAAAATATAAATAAAATCACAAAAAGTGATTAAAATGGCATACCTATTATAGTTAGTCATAGTCAATTAAAATTATCATTCTGCTAAGCTATAATAAGGTATCACAGAAAGCAAGTTTTTCAACTATCTCTTAAGAGCGCTAATGCTATTTATGGTTCTTATAGCACGTGGTTCATATGCTATAAAATAGTGGTATCATCAGTAAATAAAGTAAATTTACCATGGACGGTAATAGACGATAGGCCATTAATGTAAATTAAGAATAAAAGTTGGCCCAGAACCGAACCTTGTGGGTACTTGCGGCGTCCCACAAGATTCGGTTCTGGGACCGAAGACCGCAAGTAATTTTATCTTCATTTGAGTATGAGGTGGTTTTGACCATCTGGGTGCGATTGTTAAGTATGACTCAAATACTTTAAACTTATTCCAGTTATACCGTATCTACTGAGTTTTCGTAAAAGAATCTAATGGTTCACGCAATCAAATGCTTTAGCTATATATCACGGAAGACCTCAGCCACTGTTTCTTTGTCATTTATGTTGGATAAACATTGTATAGAAATGAAAGTATGGCATCGGAAGTGTTTTTCTGCTTCTGGAAAACAAACTGGCAACCACTTATTATTTTGTTTTCATTTAGAAAGCAAAAGAGTCTTTTTATAACTAATTTTTGTAACAACATAGTCATTGTAGAGATAAGAGACATTAGACGAAGACTCGATGGACCATTGATGACTTCACTCTTTGGCAGTGCTAACACAATTGACTTCTTCAAAAAAACTGGGAAGACTCCTTCTCTAAATGAATGATTTATTAGGCAAACTGATATATCTCGAAACAACTACTTTCATTTAAACATTAAATTATACAAAATAATTCCACCAAGGACTCCAATAATTAAAACAATCATCCTGACAGAGTG